ACTTAAAAATCATGAAGGGCATAGTACCGGTCTTGTGCACTGCACTTCTTCCTAATGAAATTTATCATCCTATGATGTTTCAAGTGCACAGCTTTTATAGTTTAGAAGAAATGGTCCGGACAAAAATAAAGTATGATGTATAAAGCAATAACCCAAAAAAATAAGAAGTGCAGAGTAACGATTCTTAGTTAGTAGTAGATAGTAGTCCAAATGTATTTACATTTATGAAAATATACTACAACACAAGATGAAAAAATACGTGATCGGTAATGTCATTGTACCAATACAAAAGGGTTTTTCATTTTTATATATAATACATATTTCAATGAAAATATAAGTGTTTTGCTTGTGTTATCAAATCCAAATTCAATATTTACATTGCAATGTTTTGCTCATTAAGCTATATGGTATCAAATTTCATCCTGCATTACAGAAACGAGTTTTTATTATTTTTATTTGAGATATCGCTTACCAAATATAAACATTGAGAGCACATTACAAAAGATACCGAGAAAGTAAAGGGGACTAGTACAAACATATTTGGTTAACTATTTGTCCTGTTTTATTATCCATCAGGCGGTTACCCTCGAAACGGATATTCCGATCCGAACCGCAAACATATGTCAGATATTTTATCTTGCATTTTCTGCAATATTCCATTATATTTAAAACTCTTTACCTTGATAAAACGATTTTCAATGGAAATTTATGCCATTACACCCGTAACTATTTTCTTACAACCGCGTATGAAATTACAACTTCATTCATAACGGTAATATGAAGTCATCATAAGCGCACGCGACTCATCTGGCACCCCCGAATGAACGTTTACCATAAAACACCAAATAAATTGTTTTGACCTTTTTTATTCAAACTGACTAAAATTTACTTCATTTGTCACTTGTTTTAAAATATATAAGTATACAAGTTAAAACTGGTTGACAATCTCTATAACTAGGCTAATCATTAATGTTTTCTTATTTTGTATGAAACTATTCATGTGAAAGATTCCATCTCAATGTCAATGTGAAAAGACAAATCATACGTGTATTTTAAGAAGGACGGATCAAGGCAGATTATTGCGCTGCGTAAATCAACAAAATACAATTATTTCAACGTATATAATTTACATCGAAATGTCTAAGAAAACTCTATATCAGATAAAAAAGACAACCCCGATATTAAACAAGAGGGCCATGATGGCCCTGAAGTCGCTCACCTGTATATAGGCCCCCGGAGCGGGGCCAGTTTAAACCCCAGGGCTTTTATTTGAACAAACTTGGTAGACACTCATTAGAAGATATTTCATGCTTAACATCTAAGGTCTAGCTGGTCAAGTTTTTTTCTTTACACATATAGTTAAAAACAATGACCCACCTGGGGCAGGGCCAGTTTTGACCCAAGGGCTTTTATTTGAACAATCTTTGTAGACACTAGAAAATGTTTCATGCTTAATATCTAAACTCTAGCTATTCGGAATTTTTCAAAGAAGACTTTTAAGTTTTTGCTATACACATATAAGGAAATCAATGTCAGCCCGGGCGGGGCCAATTTTGACCCCAGGGCTTTTATTTGAACAAACTTGGTAGACATCCATTAGAACATGTTTCATGCCAAATATCTAAGGTCTAGCTCTTTGGGTTTTTTAGAAGAAGATTTTTTAAGTTTTTACTATATGCATATAGGGCCAAAATCAATGACCCCCTGGGGCGGGGCCAATTTTGACCCCAGGGCTTTTATTTGAACAATCTTGGTAGACACTCATTGGAAGATGTTTCATGCTTAATATCTTAGCCCTACCTCTTTGGGTTCTTTAAAAGAAGATTTTTTTAAGTTTTTACTATATGCATATAGGGAAAATCAATGATCCCCTGGGGCGGGGCCAATTTTGACCCCAGGGCTTTTATTTGAACAAACTTGGTAGACAACCATTAGAAGATGTTTCATGTTAAATATCTTAGCTCTAGCTCTTTGTGTTCTTTAAAAGAAATTTTTTTAAGTTTTTACTATATGCATATAGGGAAAATCAATGACCCCCTTGGGCGGGGCCAATTTTTACCCAAAAGGGCTTTTATTTGAACAAACTTGCTAGACACCGATTAGAAGATGTTTCATGCTAAATATCTTAGCTCTAGCTTATTGCATTATTTAAAAGAATTTTTTTTAAAGTTTTTACTATATGCATATAGGGAAAATCAATGACCCCCAGGGGCGGGGCCAATTTTGACCCCAGGGCTTTTATTTGAACAAACTTGGTAGACATCCATTAGAACAAGTTTCATGCCAAATATCTAAGCTCTACCTCTTTGGGTATTTTAGAAGAAGTTTTTTTTTAAGTTTTTACTATATGCATATAGGGAAAATCAATGACCCCCTGGGGATGGGCCAATTTTGTCCCCAGGGCTTTTATTTGAACAAACTTGGTAGACACTCATTAGAAGATGTTTCATGCTTAATATCTTAGTTCTAGCTCTTTGGGTTCTTTAAAATAAGATTTTTTAAGTTTTTACTATATGCATATAGGGAAAATCAATGACCCCCAGGGGCGGGGCCAATTTTGACCCCAGGGCTTTTATTTGAACAAACTTGGTAGACATCCATTAGAACATGTTTCATGCCAAATATCTAAGCTCTACCTCTTTGGGTATTTTAGAAGAAGATTTTTTAAGTTTTTACTATATGCATATAGGGAAAATCAATGACCCCCTGGGGCGGGCCAATTTTGACCCCAGGGATTTTATTTGAACAATCTTGGTAGACACTCACTAGAATATGCCAAATATCTAAGCTCTACCTCTTTGGGTTTTTTAGAAGAAGATGTTTAAAGTTTTTTCTTTTGGTTGCCATGGCAACCAGAGTTCTGCATGGAATGGAATTCTTTGAACAAGTTTGTTAAGGCTTCACACAAGGAACATCCCTGTAAAGTTTCATTATGATCTGCCTTATGGTTTCAGAGGAGATGTCGTTTGAAAAGTGTGAACGGACAACGTACGACGGACGACAGACGACGGACGAAGAGTGATCCTAATAGCTCACCCTGAGCATATGCTCAGGTGAGCTAAAAATCATGCAAATTTTGACTGAATATTTTAAATTAGAATAATGAAAAAAAAACAGTGTCGGGCGTATTTGGAAGATTTGGTATAAAGAACATTCTACCAAAAATAAACTAGCAGTATTATTTTTCACGTAGTTTTATTTTTCATTAGTTTTATTTTTCATGTTTGATATTTCAAGTATTTATGTTTCAGGTTATTTTAGTCATATAGTTAAATATAGAGATTCGCATGACAATATTTCTAAGAAATATTTCTTATTGTGTTGTTGATGATGCATAGGTTTAGTATAAAATATCAGCTCATAAACATTTCTATTATTGCATTTGTGAGAGCATTGTTTTGGCAGATAAGAGGCGTAGTTTTAATCACGTATCTTTTTGTTGTAGGTCTTGTTTATGTAATAGGGAATGTTTATTCCACGGAAAACATAAAGCTTAAAAAATAAAATGTAATAAAAGTCAGCTACACTGACACGATGTTGGCTTAAACACCTGCCAAATCATTTATTTACGATATTCTCTCTTAAGTTGAGCTTATATAGGTTTTGTTCTAAAAGATGTGATATGGAACATGGATCACAATTAATAAATTTATCCTCAAACAACTTTAAATTTAAAGGCGATGAGCAATGAGCATATTACCTCTTACAGATGACGTAAATAAATTTTTTGTATAATGGCTTATAACTATAAACTAACTGATAGAAAAGTGTAAAGAAAAAGAAATGTGGATAAATTTTGCAGCTGACATGCATTTCAATGTACCGTTTCATTTTACGAACGAAATACATGTTTACAATTGTGTATAAACCATTTTGATCATATTTTTCTCAAGAATAATTTATATCCTGGATACATATTTTCATTTCCTCTTTATACAACAAATTATTACAAGTTATTTGAAATCGTTATGTTTAAAGATACTGAACGATAATATTTCATATTTTCTATTGATTGTATGTACCAGTATGCATAAAATTGTGCTAGTTTTAAAGACACCACTTCGTGACGGCTCCCTTCCGTCAGTTAGTATATTTTTATCACATGATCTTTGCTATGAGTGGTGTTTGAGTTTATTAACATTCCATCGATTCAATTTATTTGCAAGACTCAATGTGGAATAATTAAAATAAATAAGGCGTTTCTCAAATGTGTAAACATGGGAGTTTGTATTTTGATACAACACTTAACCTGAAGTAGATATGACAATAATACTTGTAATTCAATTAAAACCACATAAATATTAATAGCATGTTGTATTTATTATATGACCAGGCGATATTTGACAAGAAAAAAATACACTTTATGAAATCTCGGAAAATATGTCCTTTTTCCACGTGGAATGGTACTTAATATGTTGGTACTTAAACAGTTTTTTGACCCTCCTTGTTCTCATTCAACTTCCGTGATTGATTATAATATGTGATGCAATATCCCGTATATAAGTAATAAAAAACTGTTTTAAACGCATTTTGTAAATACACGTAGTAAATAAAACCCTAAACTTTAGATCTGAATAGCATGTGACAAAAAATAATTATTACAAAATGAGATTGTATCAAAATATGAAACAAGTTATAACACTAAAAAGTATATTTCTTTTCTCGTATATGTTTATCTGAATATAATATTCTTGTATCCTAATATCACTACTTTTTTATCTTCAGTCCGATTAATAATCAAGGTCTTCCCTAATATGTTATAATAAACATCATTTGTTGTAAAGTTAACATATGGAAACATTCAGGATAATCTGACATAACGTGTCTGCCTACGTCTTTTGTAATCTATCGTAAGGCAAGAAGTTTGATAACTTGTAAACTCTAGTAATTACTAGGTGTTTGATTTTATTTGTACACGTAGTTGATATCAGATTACGGGAAGTGCATTATAATATTTGTTTCTAAAATAAGTGATTTAATATGTAAGCTACTTAGTATGTTTTTGTAACAAATACTAGTTAAAGTGATATTTATTTTAAAGCAAATTGTTCAACAACATACTTTCCTCTTTGTATATCAGTAGTAATTGGATGTAAACAAGTACGTTCGTTCAATATAAATTGGATAGAAACGTTTGATCTGGTAAGATTTATGAGTATTTCTATTTTCAGCTAGTAGCATAACGCTGAAATATTATTCTTAGATTAAGAATTGACAGTATCATTTTTTCTTTTAAGGTTATATTCTGTTCTTCAATATAGAAGTTTCGATTATATTTTATCTCAAAGAAAAACACAAATAGTGACTAAAAAGCAATAGCATAAACAGTGGTTGTTCATTTTTATCTTGACCATTTGTGTGATTGTTTTGTAACAGGTGTATAACACAATATTAGTTTGGTGAAATATTATTACGTGCCACTTTGTGCTACAGGGTGTATGTAGATATGCACTAATGCAGGTTTTGCAACATTAATCAGCTATGTAAAACGGTTAAGGCTTTCAGTTAAATCAGTTAAATAGTATTTGATGGTGACAATTTGAAGGAGTATCCTCCTTATACGTTTTTCTTACACTTAAAAAGTCTCCATGGTAAATGTGTTATTTTATTGTGATTTTTTGTATATATAACTTTCATTTACGCAGTGCCTGTAATGAAATACTGACCGACTGTATTTCATCTAAATATATTTCTTTGATTATTTTTAAATTTTGATAATTACACATTACTGCTTCTCATACAACTTTTTTATCTTTGTACATTTTTTCCTGATTTGATTGACCATTTTAACATTGATACATATAATTTGATCTCAGCACTCTTGGCTTGAAATCTTATCATGCCAGGAAACTCTTTCGGTTACCTTGCTATTTGGTCGGTATCATATCGTACTATAAATAGATTATGAGCAAACATCATATGTGGCTTTTTTCACATGTCAATTATTTAGTGTCTTTTATTTTAATTTTTTGGAAGTGTTGATCCCTCGGAAGCAATAGAAACAACAGTAGTTTTATTTAATCTTTATACTGTTGTTTATAGAAGAATGTTCAATCATTGTGAAGTCAAGTAGTTGCTTGTCTTGTGAGCCTTTTACTCTACAGTTTATCAAACTTGTCTTGAATATCACAGAGATTTAAAGGTTGTACCACCAATAACTAAATATTAGGAATGGTCCAAAATCTGATTTGCTATGAGCTTGATATAACCTTGCATCTGCGTGTGTATAATAATAGAAATATAAGCTAAATTTATGGTGAACTCTAACATGTAACGCCGCAATAAAACAAAATACATATAAATCAAATAATATATACTTCTTTAATCACGATAGGCTCAAAGGCTTGTTTGTCGCGCATGTGTTGTCATTATTGGTTGACACATTTTTATTTTTTGTACCTAAAGCTTGTAATTATAAAACTTGACATAATATAATTGTCACGCTCTTGTGCTGTTCACTTATTAAGGGAGGATGTGTAAATAGTTTATTAATTTAGTCCTGAGTTTCGAGGGTCCCGGGTTCGAGTCTCGGTCAGGCAGCGCATTTTTCTCGCCCTGTGATATTTTGCAAAGACAGTGATGGCACACATCTCGGAGCCCATTTCACATTCTTTCCTTTACCTTTTAGAAAATTTAGTACGAATTTCAATATATAGTGGTATGTCACGGTCTAGAAATGCTCACAAATTAGCGGAGAAAAATGGGTAGGCGGCCGTAGAACCGCGGTACGGTGTTCCCAATGTCCCGGGTTTTAAACCCTTCAGACTGCACATTTTGTAACCCTGTCACATATGTAGCTAGGATTTGAAACAAGGCATAACACAAACGTAAATGTAATTCTTTAGAACATATGTCTGCAATTATGAATAATTTCTGCAGTAAAAAGGTTAGCAAAAATCAATATAAATATATTATGTAGACACTATAGGTTAAATTATCGCCAAAGTTCAAGACATATGATGAACAGCTATTTCTTAAAAACGTAGTAACTTTCTCAAATATTATATTGACCATTAAATACGTCGTTGAAATTATTGTTTAAAGTCTGCAAAAGATTACATTTTTAAGTAATATTTTTCATCGATCTCCGATTTCATTCCTGACATATTTCCTATGTTAAAATTGATGGTGAATATATGAATGTTACAATGTTGCATCATATATATATCAGTGACATTTCTTGATAATTCCTTAGGCGATGATAAACTGTATCAACCATTAAGCTACTGACACTCAAATATGTGAAGGTCATGTTTTTTACAGTGTTATGTTAAATCTCACTAATGACAGAAAAGATTCAGGTCTTTATTGTAAATCTTCTGTTTTAAGAAAACCATTTTATTTACCTTTGTGTAAATGTTTAGCGAATTATTACAATGCCATAAGCTTTCAGCTTATCTTATTTTGTCTACTTCGGTGTAAGCAAAGCTAGTGTTTGTTCAATCCAGTAGCACCAGACAGATAATTGAGACGAGTACAAATTGTAAGAATTTGCCTGATGCTAACTCATTTTAAAGAAAAGGGCACCAAGTATATACAGAGATTAGAAGAAATCTATTTGCTAATTTATTTATTTCATTCATTTATCAACAAACTAGAGTACCGTTTTAATTAAAAATATAATATTTCATTGACATTTTAAGTAGTTTGGTGCTTGACCAGAAATCACATTGTTTATTCTTGCTTTAGATCTATACATTTTAATAAGATAACATCTTAGGAAAATGTGTCGAAATCATATTTCATTATCTAATCCCATGCGTTTTACATATTGCAATTTAAATTCTCAACTCTATAGAAATACTTCTAAAAGTATTTTAGGAGACAGTACATTAAATTTGTCTATGTTTCACATGCATAATAATGTACCAATGGAATTTTGATTTGGACAGTGAAGGCAATTATATTAGGGCGGACAGACACAAAATTTCAAAACATAAGTAATTGATCATATGGTACATTTCGATAGGGTATTTAGTATCATCATGCTAGACATATGCAATATTTGGTTTTTCCTGGGCTCCTTGCCACTGGTTCTTGTTTTTGGGTCGTGTGGAGGTTTCATTGAACGTTTTCCTTGTTGATCTTGTTTGCCATATTTTGAACCTATATTTCAGTACAAGGCTATTTGCACAGGAATCCTTGAACTCTCTTGGTTCAATTTTATCAATTTTATATGACTGTATATATTTATGTTACAACTGTCACTTTAATCTTTATACAAATATGAAAAGTATCCACCAGGCATTTATCTTTTAATAGACTTAGAACGATTATATTATACACATTGTAAGTCTTTATCTAGAACTAAGCGTCTATTTGAAATAAATTTCTTTAATACCAACGTCTGAAAACATTTTATTTCTTTTTATACAATGTTTCAAGTATAAAGAAACAAGGATTTAAAATCTAAAAGATTTATTTGTTTCGTTTGTTATAAAAAAGGTTATTCAAATATTTGTTTAGTTAAGACTTTAATGAGCGTTACGTGTTACAAAACAAGAATTTGGTATTATATAAACTGTAGATAGTTTATTTCAGTGTACAGATATGAGATATTTTCTACGTAGTTAGATGAGTAATGAGAATATATCAACAGGTTTTGCATTACATTATATTGTATTATTATAATAAACGGAAAATACCAAGCATCTGCGTTATAAATTTATTCATTACAGCAGAAGAATTTTTTATTTATTCATACAAGAAAATCGAATATCTTTATTAAAAGTTTTGTTATTACATTTGGTGTGACCTCAGCAGTGAAATCTTGAAAATTGAATGATCTGACAATGGAACTTTCTGCTATGACAAACAATAAATTGATATATTTAAAAACACAAATAAGGCATATCGTATACTGTATGAATTAATTTTGCGTTTACTTTTTGTCTTTTTAAATAATTACCAACTTAGCATTATATGGCAATTTCAGTAAAGCGTTTGACCTAAAGAAACGTCTTTATGACTCATGAACAATTCCGTACGTACTTTTTATCTATTCTATTTATGTATTTCAGTTAAATCTACATTTGGGCTGCACAAATTGTAAATAGTTACAAAATTAAATTATTAAACTTCTATAAACGTCATTAATTAAGAAATACAAGGTCAAAACCAATAGACTCGCCTAAATAATCATGAACAATGATATGAACAATCAACATAAGACTATATATATATACATTTCTTCCGATAAGCAAGTGTCCGTATAAAAAATCACAATAAGTTTAAAAAAAGTTCGCAATTTATAATTATGCAAATGTCGACGAATATAATAATAGGAAAGGTTATAAATCATAAGCGTATTTGCAATACATGCTATCAAATGTCTGAAATATGATTATGTTTGAATGATAGGACGATGATATAAGTGAGCATATAATTCGTGTTCCTGTCATTACATGCATGCGATTTGATAGTAATAAAAATGATATCAAATGTTTAAGAATGCATAGCTCTGACCTCGTTTTAATGCCGAACATAAATTAGGAATAAAATAACCGATTAACATTGAGATAAATATACAGACATTTAATATTCTTAGCATCCAGAAGAATATTAAGTTATACATTTTAAATGTTGATTTTGTAAATCTTGAATCTATCATTGTTTATTTTTTACTTATGTATGGGAAAATGGCATTTGACTGTCATTGAAAAATTAAAGACTTCTGTTGAAGAATATTTTACCTACAAACGCAGTAAATAGGAAACTGGAACCTGTGAAAAGTCGGTCATTGTCTAAGAGAACTAGTCTCTTTGGAAAATGTATGAAAACAATTTCAACCTCGTAAGTTTTTAGATTTTTCGCAATTTATAATTGTATATATGGTGACGAATGTATTAAAAGGAAATGCTATAAATCTTGAGCTTATTCGGCGGTTGCCTTGTCCATTATATCATTATTATTAAGAATTTACTGTCAGTTGCATTGTTGTATAAGTAAGAGGGATCATTTATTATTTTAGCATACGAAATGTAAATAAGACATTATTTACATTTCTTTAGATATATAATGTAGGTTTTGCCAAAATTTAAATGAAGGCAGATGCTCTACTATGCATAAGATTTAATGTTAATGAAAATGTGATAAATGACCCAACCTTCTTTTGAAATTACTTGACAATCATTTGACATTGT